GTGAGTTTTTCCTGTTGTGTTTTTGATGAATATTACTGTTGTTTTTGGGGTTGTTATTGTTGGTACTGTTATTGTTATCATTATTATTGATATTACTGTTCTTGCTGTTGTTGTTATTATCTGTTATTGTTATTATAATTACAGTTATGAGTAGTGGGATGGTTATGACCGAATTATTATGTCTCACCCATCAGCGCACTCAGCATCATCATTCATCATCATCTCCCGATCATCTATCACATCATCATATCATCATCATCATCATCAGGTGTAGGAGGAGCAGCATCAGCATCAGGTGATGAGTATCATCCATCAATTCCGGTGGTGAGTATTATCCGTATCATCATCAGGGGAGGATGATAATTTATCATCATAGGGGTAGTGGGATCAGCAGCAGCAGCAGGGGCGGAGAGGAGCAGCAGCAGCAGGGGGAGAGTAGATCAGCCGCATAAGGGGAGAGAGAAAGAGAGAGTAGAGAAAGAGAGAAAGAAGAGAGAGAGAGAGAGAGAGAGAGAAGAGAAGAGAGAGAAGGAGGGAGGGAGGGAGGGTAGGGAGAGAGAGGAAAGAAGAGGGCAGAAGGGAGAGAAGGAAGGAGAGAAGGAGAGAGGGAGAGAGGGTAAGAGAGAGGGGAGAGCGAGCGAGAGAGGGGAGAGAGGGGAGAGAGGGAAGAGGGAGAGAGGGAGAGAAAGAGAAAGAGTGAGGCGGAAGAGAGATGGGAGGAGGAAAGAGAGGGAGAGGAGAGAGGGAAGCAGAGATGGAAGAGAGAGAGGGAAGAGAGAGAGGGAACAGAGAGAGGGAAGCGAGAAGAGGGAAGAAGAGAGGGAAGAGAGAGAGGGCAGAGAGGATGAGAGGGAGAGAGGGGGGAAGAGAGAGGGGGAAGAGAGAGGGGGAAAGAGAGGGAAGACGAGGGGGAGCGGAGAGGGGGAGAGAGAGGGGGGAAGGAGAGGGGAAGAGCAGAGGGGGGAAGGAGGGGGAAGAGGAAGGGGGAAGAGAGAGGGGAAGAGAGAGGGGGAAGAGAGAGGGGGAAGAGAGAGGGGGAAGAGAGAGGGGGAAGGAGAGGGGGAGAGAGAGGTGGAAGAAGAGGGGGAAGAGAGAGGGGGAAGAGGAGAGGGTAGAGAGAGGGAAGACAGAGAGGGAAGACAGAGAGGACGACAGAAGGGAAGAAGACAGGGAAGAGAGAGAGGAAGAGCGAGAGGTAAGGAGCAGAAGGGAACGAGAAGAGGGAAGAGAGAGAAGAGAGAGGAGAGAGAGAGGAGAAGAAGAGAGGAGAAGAGAGAGATGAGAGAGAGAGAGGGAGGAGAGAAGAGAGAGAAGGAGAGAACAAGAGGAGACAGAGACAGAGAGGAGAGACATGAGACATAGACAGGAGAACAGAGACAGAGACAGGAGAGGTGAACGAGGAGAGACATGAGAAGCTAGATACAGAACAGAGAGATCAGAGACAGATATAGAGACAGAGAACGAGCGTGATGAGACAGGGACATGAGACAGATAGAACAGAGACGAGAGCAGAGTAGAGAAATAGACTAGGAGAGAGAACATAGCGAGACAGAGGACGCGACAGAGAGGGAGACAGAGAGGGAAAGTGAGATTTTCAGTTGGAGAGTACAGCCAGAGAGAGATAAAACCAGACGATTGACCAGGAGATAGTAGAAGAGATAGACAAGACAGAGACAGGAGAGAGACAAGACAGAGAGACAGAGACAGAGCTACAAATACATACGAGAAGAGACGACGTATACAAGACAGGACGGAGACATAGACAGAGGAGAATAGATTAGAGACGTAGACAGAGAGAGCGCGAGACAGGAGGAAGAATGAGAACAGAGAGAGACGGAGACCAGAGAGAGTCTATGACAGAGAGAGACATGAGACATAGGAGAGACAGAAGAGAAGAAGAGACATGAGAAGGAGAGACAGAGACAGATGAGAGAGAAGAGACAGAGGAGAGAGACAGAGGGAAACATGGAGAGTGAGGGAGAGGATAACGAAGGATAAGACGAGAGAGGAGACAGAGAGAGACAAGAGAGGAGAGACAGAGAGAGACGAGCGAGAGAGAGACACGAGAGAGAGAGTAGGAGAGAGAGAGGAGAGAGGAGAGAGAGAGAGAATACCACAAGAAGAGAGATGAGAACCCACATATAGAGAGAGACGACAAAGAGAGAGGGAACAGAGAGAGACCAGGAGGAGAGACAAAGCGAGAGACACAGAGAGAGAGAGAGAGAAGAGCGACAGAGAGAGAAATCAGGAGAGAGAACAGAGAGACAGAGAGAGAAACAGAGGAGAAGAGAGACCGAAGAGGAGACAGAGAGAGACAGAGAGAAGACAGAGCGAAGACAGGAGGAGAGACAAGAGAGAGACCAGAAGAGACAGAGAGAGAAAAGCGAGAGAGACGAAGAGAGGACAGAGAGAGAGGACAGATAGAGAGACGAAGAGGAGACGAGAGACGATCCGAGAGAGAGACAGAGAGAGAGAAAGAGGGGAGAGAGCGGGAGAAGAGAGAGAGACAGAGAGCGATGACAGAGAGAGAGAGACAAGAGAGAGCAGCGAGAGAGACAGAGATAGAGAAGAGAGGGAGAGACTAGGAAGAGAGACAGAAGAGAGAGAGACAGGAACAGAGACAGAGAGACAGAGAGACAGAGAGACTGGAGAAAGAGACAGAGAGACATGAGAGACGAGAGGAGATCAGAGGAGACAGAGAGCCAGATAGACATCGAGACAGATAGGAGATAGATGGGGGGGGGGGGGAGGAGAGAGAAGAGGAGAGAGAGAGAGATACAGGATAGTACAGATTTTTATGTATCAAGAGACAGAGAGACAGCGAGATCCGAGAGAGATAGGAGAGTGAGAGAGACAAAGAGAGAGTCGAGAGAGAGAGAGATAGAGAGAGAGAAGAGACCGAGAAGGAGTGTGTATTACAATGACGCAGAGAGACAGAGAGACAGGAGAGATGAGGAGAGAGAGAAGGGAGAGCGAGAGAGAGATAGAGAGGAGAGAGAGAGAGAGAACAGAGAGAGAGAGAGACAGAGAGATAGAGGAGGCAGATATGAGAGAGAGACATAGCGAGAGGAGACAGAGAGAGAGAGAGATACAGAGAGGGAGAGACACAGAGAGAAGATGAGAGAGAGAGGAGGAGAGGAGAGAGAGAGAGAGAGAGAAGAGAGGAGAGAAAGATGAGAGAGGAGCAGAGAGAGCGAGATCACTAGAGAGAGAGAGAGAAGAGAGAGAGAGAGAGAGAGAGAGAGAGAGAGAGAGAGAGAGAGAGAGACAGAGATCGAGAGACAAACAGAGAGAGAGAGAGAGAGAGAGAGGGCGAGAGGAGAGCGGAGGAGAGAGCGAGAGACAGAGAGAGGGAGAGAGGGAGAGAGGGAGAATAGAGAGGGAGAGAGAGAGGAGAGAGAGAGAGAGAAGAGAGAGGAGGAGAGAGATAGAGAGAGAGAGAGATAGAGAGACTGAGGAAGGAGAGAGGGAGAGAGAGAGAGAGAGAGACAGAGAGAGAGAGAGAGAGAAGAGTAGAGAGACAGAGACAGAGGAGAGAGCGAGAGAGAGAGAAGAGAGAGAGAGACAGCTTGAGAGAGAGAGAGAGAGAGAGAGAGAGAGAGAGATAGAGAGCGAGACGACAGAGAGAGGAAGAAGAGAGAGAGAAAGAGAGAGACCGAGGAGAGGGGAGTAACAGAGAGAAGAGAGAGAGAGAGAGAGAGAGAGAGATAGTAGATAGATAGAACAGTTATAGAGGATAGACAGATAGGAGATAAGGATAAGATGACATAATATATAGTATATAGTGATTGATGAGATATATACATAGATAGAGCGAGTAGTAGACATAATATAGAGGCTATAGAATAGAGATAGATAGGGCTTAGAGAGAGAGAGAGAGTAGGAAGGTGAGATGTAGATAGATATATAAATAGAATGGTAGAGAGCGAGATGAGATAGTAGATAAGGGATAGAATTAGAGAGATAGAGAGAGAGAGATAGATAGAGAAGATAAGAGATAGAGTAGGGAGAGAGAAGAGAGGGATAGTAGAGAGAAAAGAGGTATCGAATATATGGATCGAAGAGAGTTAGAGATATAGAGGGATGGAGATATATAGAGGGAGGTAAGAGAGAGAGAGGGAGAGATAGAGATATAGATAGCTAGATAGATATAGGAGATAGATAGACGATGATATATGAGACAGATGAGATTAGAGAGAAGGGAGATAGAGCGAATATAATAAGAGAGAGAGATAGAGACAGAGAGCGACAGACAGAGAGTAGGTAGATACAGAGGGTGAGATACCGAGATGAGATAGACATGATAGAGTAGACAGAGAGAGAGTTGAGTAGTTAGAAAGACGAGAGAGAAAGATACAGCGAAGAGAAGGAGACATAGAAGCTAGAGAAGAGAGAGCGAGAGATAAAGGCCAGAGAGATAGAGAGGAGAAGAGAGAGACAGATAGAGAGCGAGAGAGGAGGAAGAGGAGAAGAGATATAGAGAGATAGCACGAGGACAGAGAGGTTGAGAGAGAGAGGAGAGAGGAGAGAGAGGAGAGAGAAGATGATCGTATAGGTCGAGGAGTATAGAGAGCTAGGAGAGAGAGAGCAAGATAGATAGCGATAAGAGAGAGAGAGAGAGGAGAGAGAGAGAGAGAGAAGAGAGGAGAGATCAGCGAGGAGAGAGACAGATATGGAGAAGACAGAGAGTGAGAGAGGGAGAGAGAGAGGAGAGAGAGAGAGAGAGAGAGATATAGAGAATACATAGGGGAGATAGATGAGACAGAGAGTTATAGAGAAAGAGAGTATAGCGACATGAGGGGAGAGGACAGAGAGAGAAGAGAGAAGAGAAGATAAAAGAGAGAGAAGAGAGAGAAGAGAGAATAGAGCGAGATTCGAGAAGAAGATAGGGAGATACATAGATATGAGAGAGAGAGAGGATAGATAAGATATAGAGAGGAGAGAGAGAGACAGATAGCGATACCTATAGATAGAGAGATAGATAGATATATAGAGCGAAG